ATTTTTTGAGAAATACTGAAAGTTCCAGAGAAATCATCGTACTAGAGGTATTCTAAAATGTGAAGAATACACAACCCGGGGTACAAAATGACTCCGGGGCGTACGGATAGGGTTAAATAGTGACTTTCCGAGAGACGGACACGGAGGGTAATGGAAACTTCTGTAGACGGAAACCTGTCACAACCGAATCCCCCCCCCCCCCCCCCAAACCACCATTTCCGCTATAATTACCCCTGTAAAATGGAACCCTGCCTAACACGAAAACGAGCAAAGAAATTCCATCCTTTCACGGGTTTTTTACCAGTCTAGTCTAAAAAGGAAACTGGTTTGACTGCTCAGCCCTGATTTGAAACAAATTAGATCTATCAATTTTGGTTCTATCGGTTTTCTAACTTACTTTTACTCCATACCGCCAGGCGGGGAAGGGGAGTAGGCGTGCAAACTAGGGGTAGATCGAGGAGGTTTAAGGTACTTGGGGTAGATCGAAGGAGCTTGGGTAGATCCAAAGTCAACTCTGCTAAATAAAGCTGGCGTTTGGTAGATCTAGATGTTACACAAGGACCATTATTATTAAAATGCCCCCTTGGTTGCCGCCCACAGAGTAGCCTCCATTATTATTATAATTTATTGTACCTCCTTGGTCTTTGCTGTTGCCCTATACGTTTTTATACTATCTGAGCGTTTAGCTATTACCCCATTCATGTGAGCCTTCAGCGACGCAGGTGGTAGGGGCGGTGTGGGTGTGACATCTCACGAGTGTCAATGAAAGCGCCCGGAGTGGCACTCCAACCCAAAAACTTTCCTGGGTAGCCAGTAGCCAGAGGCCAGAGGTGTGAAATTAATTTGACCAATGCCTTCCGGCCTGATCGCACGGCCGGCAGAGCAAAAAAAGTTTCTCGGGAGGGGTGGCATTGGTTAATTGTGCTTGTTACATCGGTAGGTGGGGCTAAAAGCGGAAGCAACGGAGATGTTCAATCGTTTCTGTTTTTAATAGGTTAAAGAGTGGTCCTATGAAAGGCAAGCAGTGGCGGCGATGGATAATTAAGACTGACGCATGTCATTATCAGAGAGGCTAGGGTAACACTTGAGACTTGAGAGGTGTGACGTGTTAGTGTTAACTAGGCTACTGCTTGCCAACGGGACAGGCGATCCTTGATCGCACAGGCTGAGCCTCTGGAACCCCTCCCCCCCCCTCTCCCATACAGTCTCCCGTCGAAGTGGAAGGCAGAAAATGTCTATTACGGAATTTTGTTTCTGGCTCCCTTACCTTTGGATTCCATCTTAGAGACAGGTTCGACTGTTTAAAGAATATAATAACGAAGTGGCTAGCCGTACTTAAGTACGGCTAGACTGCCAGTCTAGCCGTACTTAGATCTAGGTTTGGCCCTATCGACTCAAGTAAGCCTGTAGTTTAGTACACAGGTCTCATTAGATCTAGATCTAGTAATTATTCAGGTTCAAACACATGCAGGTCAGTAAGGCATCTTTTGGTTTTGTCTGAAATACAAATACTTTAGGCATTGCAAACTAAAAATTTCATTTACAATTCAGCCATCAATATTAAGCACGGCTAGCCTGACAGTCTAGCCGTCCTTAAGTACGGCTAGCCTGGCTGTCTACCCGTACTTATCTTAGGCCTTATTAACATTAGAAAACAGGAGGTTTATAATACATGCACTGTCATTAAGGCACCTGGTTTCGTCTCAAATGCAAATACTTTAGGTACTGCACACTAAAAATGTATATTTACAATTCAGTAGGCCTATTTTTTGTAAATGGTCAGTCTAGCCATCATATTAAGAATAAGTACGGCTAGACTGCGAATCTAGCCGGCTAGACCGCTTCGTTGATATTAATATAATAATATTGGACAATTTTGGAAAACTGCTTTGAACCCACTAAAGAGCATAGAAAAGCTTGAGGATACGAATTTTAAAATAATCGTATTTTACTGATTCCCGTTGGGAAAATAGGATTACAATGGAAAACATAACATACGTTATTGCATGATTACAATGATTAGAAATACACACATAGATAAAATACATGCACAGATATTATATACACATAAATTACATTCATACAGAAGAAGAAGAAGAAGAAGAAGAAGAAGAAGAAGAAGAAGAAGAAGAAGAAGAAAAAGAAGAAGAAGAAGAAGAAGAAGAAGAAGAAGAAAAAAAGAAGAGGAAGAGGAAGAGGAAGAGGAAGAAGAAGAAGAAGAAGAAGAAGAAGAAGAAGAAGAAAAAAAGAAGAGGAAGAGGAAGAGGAAGAGGAAGAGGAAGAAGAAGAAGAAGAAGAAGAAGAAGAAGAAGAAGAAGAAGAAGAAGAAGAAGAAGAAGAAGAAGAAGAAGAAGAAGAAGAAGAAGAAGAAGAAGAAGAAGAAGAAGAAGAAGAAGAAGAAGAAGAAGAAGAAGAAGAAGAAGAAGAAGAAGAAGAAGAAGAAGAAGAAGAAGAAGAAGAAGAAGAAGAAGAAAAATAAATAACAACAACAACAACAACAACAGCACAATGTTAATGCAGAAATAGGAACCGAACGTAGAAGAAGAAGAAGAAGAAGAAGAAGAAGAAGAAGAAGAAGAAGAAGAAGAAGAAGAAGAAGAAGAAGAAGAAGAAGAAGAAGGAGGAGGAGGAGGAGGAGGAGGAGGAGGAGGAGGAGGAGGAGGAGGAGGAGGAGGAGAAGGAGGAGGAGAAGGAGGAGGAGGAGGAGGAGGAGAATGTTTATAAACAACTCATTACCAATGTCAACAGGTGTCGATGTTCAAGCTATAACATCTGGGAAGACCGTGTACGCCTACTATGGCATACCCTTTGCTGAACCCCCAGTCGGGCCTCTCCGGTTCAGACCCCCTGTCCCATACGCTGGGAGGAACCCGAACAACGTTATTTCTTCAAACAGGTAGGCTTTTCAAAGTGGCTAATATCATTGTACTAGGACTAGTATGCAAAGGTCAACGAGCAGACAGGAAAAAGAGGCTAAAACAGCATCTGGACATGGATTGCTGGTGTCTCTATAGATGAATTAATAATAAAAATAATAATAGATAGCATTTGTATAGCGTATATCCCCGCTCAACAGCAGGCTCTATGCGCTTTACACTATATTATTACCCCAGCAGACCATAGAGCACTCCGAAACATTCTCAGCTTCCCGGGAAGCATACAGTGCGAGCAGCCGATTAAGCGCTCAAACACTAACAAACTGGCAAGATATTTCGCTGTCTATAGCCGGGTACCCATTCCCACCTGGGTGAAGTGAGGAAAATAAGTGTAAAGTGCCTTTCCCAAGGACACAACGTCGGACCCCTGACGGGATTCGAACCCACGACCTTACGGTTGCGAGTCCGAGAGCCTAACCACTAGGCCACCGACGCCACCAACGTTATTGATGGTCAACGTCAAATGCCTAGTTACTATACAACTGTAGGTGTTATACGCTCCCACTGACACATTTAGGATCATTATGGAGACCTAGACTAACAAACAAACAAGCACACTCATAAACAAACACACAAACACGCAAACAAACAAACAAACAAACAAACAAACAAACAAAACTGGGGAGATGCACTTCGTGACTTCCACGTTAGTCTATAGTGAGAGTACTTATGCATTGTACAGACAAATGTTAAATACTACTGCAATCGGGGGTATAGAAAAGTACTTTACTTTCTTTTCTTATTTTTTGGGGGGTGAGATTTACATATAGGTGTCAAAGTAACAAAGTAAGCTAGATTCTAGTTGAAACTTGACGTTTTCACAATGGACATTTTAACCGGCAAATAATATAGTTCGCTGTCTGAGTAAACATTGGCATTGACGGACGAGGTATATTTCGCTACCTTAGAATTACAACGTTCTCTCTCTGACATTTTTGGCCCTTTTGACTTTCTAAGACCATGAGATCAGAAACCAAACATTCTATCTGCTCCTATTCGGAGTCGTTATCAAAATATTCAAAGAATTGCATTCCAAAAAGCTTGGCATGTTGTGAAACTCAAAATAGGTACTTTTAGGGTAGTGAATTATTACCAACTACTAGAACTAGTAGGCCATTGCATAACCTTTCTGGAAATGTATGATTATCATATATTTTGCAGGCAATGTTTTCTTTGAATTAAGGAAAACTGTTGCTAAGTTGTCTTTTTCATGCATCATTTTGGCACATTTTGGTGCCATCCTCTTGTCTATATAAGTAAGTAATTAATGATCCCCGAAAAATACCCAAATTCACAACAACAAAAACTTGCATAACTTTTGAACCGTTTGTCCAATCGTCTTGCTGGTGTTTTTTTCCTCAGCTCCTTTAGCTCTTTCTAGTGACGTGTATTTTGGTCAAATTAATCGTTTTAACATTTTTTCGTGAAACCCCCTACGACTACTGCTACAACCAACTCCCTACAGTTTCCGTGCATCCTGCATGCAGGAGGCCCCTCCCGTTCCCACGACCACCAGTGAAGACTGTCTGCACCTCAACATTTTCGCGCCCTCGGCTAGTTCCCAGACAGAAAGAAAAGTGAGTGCTGTTTTCGATTGTTTTATTTCGGGCAGGGGGTTGTTTATGTTTATTTGTTTTGTTTTGTTTGGTTTTGGGGAGTTTTTTAAAAAATCCTGTGTGTTGTTGTTGTTGTTGTTGTTGTTGTTGTTGTTGTTGTTGTTGTTGTTGTTGTTGTTGTTGTGTGTGTGTGTGTGTGTGTGTGTGTGTGTGTGTGTGTGTGTGTGTGTGTGTGTGTGTGTGTGTGTGTGTGTGCGTGTGTGTGAGGTAGCCCATCCGTTCGAAATGCTTGGCGCCCCGAAGAGCGTGCTCTTCGCCAGGGCCGCCGCCTCTCTTGGGTAGCGGGTGAGGCAGTCCAACCTCCCTGAATCCTCACCAAAGAGATGCCACCGCCGGACCTCCGTGTTGTTGTTGTTGTTGTTGTTTGGGAGGGGGTATCGTTCTTTTGAGGATTTGATTGTTTTTATACAACTCATAACGGGATTGAATCAACCTGCTTTCTAGTCTTAATCGAAATGATGTCGATGTAAAACAACTGTGTGGTTTACTCCTTTCTTCATCAAACATCTATCATCCTTACCTCTCCTCCTTCTTTTATGATAATAATAGGCCTGTGCATATTATATTCCAGTAACCAACATCTCTAATCTTCGAAACTTATAAGACCTATTTGTGTTGCAATTACATGTATCTTTAAAAAATAAAGTAAAGTTTTTCCCGCATCCGATCAGGACCTTGGGGATTGCCTTGTTAGTGAGACAACTTCCTGGTCCTTCGGCATATTGTGGTAGGGAGGCCAGATCCTTTCCACGCCGCCTTTACTTCCCCTACTCAAAGTCAGGTGCCCATTACTACTGGGTAGGCAGGAGGAGGCGAGAAAAAAATCCGTGCCCGAACCGAGGCTCGAACCCGGACTTTCCGCTTCGGAGACGAGCGCACTAACGGCTCCGCCACCGCACCCTCATTATCTTAAAACTCTAACTACAACTCAACAGTTTACGTTCAATCAACGTTCTACTATATTTGAGGTGACGTCTTCTCCAACAGGTCATGGTTTGGATCCACGGTGGAGGTTACATTCTTGGGGATGTCCGGCCCTACACCCCCACTGACCTGGTGGCAGATTATGACGTCGTCGTGGTCACCATCCACTACCGTTTGGGGTTCTTTGGTTTTATGAGTACTGGGGACGAGGCATCGCCAGGTGAGGACAACAAAACTTGTGTTTTATTTAATAATAATTTCCCCCTTCTCTCTATCTCCGGAATAGACCCCATTCATTCATTCATTCATTCATTCATCCAATCATTCATTCATTCATTCATTCATTCACTCATTCATTCATTCATTTATCAATTTATCACCTGTTCATTGAACTGTTCAATGATGTATTTATATATTTATTTATCTGTATAGTTACCGGTAGTCAATTAGTTAGATAGTTAGTTAGCTAGTTGTATAATTATTTATTCATTGACGGAGGGTTAATGGCTGTGTGTATGTGAGTGTGTGTTTATACAACATGTAACTTTGTCTATGTGTATGTGAGTATTATCCCATATATGTGGGTATTATCTATAATAATAGTATGTGCATTACACTATATTATTACCCCAGCAGACCATTGAACACTCCGAAACATTCTCAGCTTCCCCGGAAGCATACAGTGCAAGCAGCTGATTAAGCGCCCAAACACTAACAAACTGACAAGATCTTTCGCTGTCTAAAGCCGGGTACCCATTCCCACCAGGGTGAAGTGAGGAAAATTTGTGTAAAGTGCCTTTCCCAAGGACACAACGTCGGGCTCCTGACAGGATTCGAACCCACGACCTTACGGTTGCGAGTCCGAGAGCCTAACCACTAGGCCACCGACGCCATGTGAATGTGCATATCAAGACTTTCCAAACTCTTTTCCAGGCAACAACGGACTAAGAGATCAAGTGCTCGCACTTCAGTGGGTAAAGGATAACATCCGGGCTTTTGGAGGTGACCCCGATGACGTCACCTTGTTTGGCGAATCTGCGGGGGCCGGAAGTGTGTCCTTCCTGTCGCTGAGTCCATATTCTAAGGGACTGTTCACGAAAGTGAGTGCTTGTTAGATTTTAGTAAAGGTTTACGGCGCTCGCAACTGCATAAGGTCATATTATGCGCGCCAAGGGGTTGATGCCAACAGAGAAGTCCAAACGGGGAATCAGGTTTATTCTACTCACCTCTCTAGCCTCAACAGCAAATGTCTGCTTCGACTATCAAGGCACCCCAGAAATAGCAGTTCACAAGAGAGTGACAAACATACAAAAAAAGTAGAGGGAATGACGATAGTAAGGATGAGGAAAGAAAAAGCAGCAGTTCCCCCTATGTTGTTCCGGCACAGTATGAGCATGAATTGGTAGATCAGCCCATTTACAATTCTACTGTGCATAAGAACATGCTAATATGATACACATGCTATAAAAACTATCGTGCGTACATACATGTCACAACACTTAAAGGAGCGGTGAGTACAAATCGCAAAGGTACAGATCGAGAAGGGAACATTAAGGCCAGAAGTGGTAGAGAGAGAGATAGAGGGGGGGAGGGGGGAACAGGTGCGTGGAGGTAAGGAATATAATAACAGAAGGGTGACCTTATGAAGTTGCGAACGCCGTAAAACTTATGCTAAAATTAAAGTTTAAAAAAAACTCATACATCTGTTAATGAAAATCTAGAGTGACCATCCCTAATTTTCCTGACAGGCCATCATGCAGAGCGGCACCGTGTTTTCCCCGTGGTCAATCATCTCTCCGGCCAGAGCTCGCTCCAACTTCTACAAGATGGCCGGCCAGCTCAACTGCCTGCCCTGGTGGTACCTTGTTGGACGTAGGTCAGTCAAGCACGTGAAACGTAGTACACGTACATGTACTTACATGGTTTTGAGTTCCAAACTAACGCACATCCAGATTTTGACACGTTACCTCTTTTAGTAAGGACGTACTGATGTCATTTTTCTTTCATCTTTTTTCTTTTTTCTT